TATACTCATAAAGCAGCATTTAGACTACATAAAACAAACGACCTCCAAACTAGGTAGATTGAAGCGTATTATTCATTGCAAAATGATAAAAAGGGCCTGAGATTTCAAAAAGTTTAATTGCCTCCTTTTATGCTGTATATGTCTTTTTATTACCCGGGGTGTGCGATAGACTTACCTCCACGTGGTGCACCCTGGGCAACGTATACTCTTACGGCAAAAAAGTTTATTAACCGGCAGTTGACTTCTGACTTCTAACTACCATCACCCCACTGCATTTCATATTCGACTAATTTCACAGTACTCATCTCACCTTTTTTCACTTAAATGTTCCTTCCCTCTGTGAAGCCAGAAGAAAATTAAAGGGCTAATGATAGCTATCAAAACGCCTGCCATTTGATATAAATAAATGTTGCATATCTACCTCTTTAAGTTCATGCTGAGATAGATCACGCCAGATATATCTAGTGCATGGCCTCGAATCAGTATTAGTAGAATATTGGCATTAAATGCAAATACTATGCACATAACCCCAAAAATTAGGAAATTTAATCCCCTACTCACTTAAAACTTCCTGAATATGCTTTGAAATAGATTGCAAAAGTAGAATTGGGAAGACTGACACTCAGGAGACAAGCACGCAACGGATGTGGTCTTAGCAAATATACAAAGTAGAATTGAAGGAAAGCATTGACTCAGATTAATTGTATTCACAGTAAAATAGTCAGTCAAAATAATTACACGAACTCTACTTAAAAATCGAGACGAGAAAGCACAGGCAAAGCGATCATCGCAAACATGTATTGAGTGTCTACAAATTCCACAACCGTCTTTGTTTGAATAATGTTGCAGGATTTGAGCTAAAAGAACACGGTTGTCAAGTTGCATGAAACAAAATTATCTCGATTGGGTTGTGCGATAGACTAACCTCCACGTGGCGCAACCTGGGCAACATATACTCATAAGGCAAAAAAGTCTATAAACCGGCAGTTGACCTTTTCTACTCTGAGCCATCTTATTATTCGTGTAAACATTGTGACACCTCTTCGCGATTGCTTTTGTCATAGAATGTTCAAAGTAGCTAAAGATGCAGTACACTAATCACTTTATGTCATCGCTACCATTTATAATTAATACGGAGTGCTTTACGAGGTTATTCACTTTTCTAATTTGGTTGCTAGCTCTACAACCGAGACCACATTATAACCTTATCCAGAATTTCGGTTAGCAGTAAAACTAACAACCAACTGACCTTTTTGGTCAACCCTAGGAACGAATGCGGACTTACTAATTCTGATCAATTACTTGGCTACATTTTCACATAATTATTGCGAGATAAATTCCTAGGCTGGTATAAACTGTTGAATAACCCGTAAGATCATTTTACCTTCCTAACCGTTGAAAAAATTTACTCTAATGGCAAAGCCAACAATTCCTGACTAAAAGACTAGACGTTAAACATTCGCTATGGAGTAGAAAATGCGAATTTTGCAGATGGAACGACCAATTGAAGGAAATAACATTTTTTTGCCGATGACAACGGCCTCTTTTTGACCTTCGTCCTTCATGGTTAGAAAGACCTTCTGTGAGCCAACTTCAATTGCTTCTGCCACAAAAAATAATTTTTTGTTGTGTGTGTGTGTGTGCGTGGAGGTGTAGACATAAATGAATTTGATTCCTTAGAAAATAGACGACCACTACTAACTACGAACATCTTCCTTCTTTCTTCTGAATAAGCTCAGTAAACACCGAGATGTATCGAAAATAGGGTTACATCATAGTCATGGCGAAAAAATTTACTTAAGTTACCCCATTCGCCCAAGTGCTTCTGTAAAAACCAAGTTAAATGATCTGAATAGAGCAACCCGATAATAAATTGGCGCAATTTGCAAAGCTAAATGGTATATTTCCAAAATTAGCAGCAAGGATCAGATCTTGAGGACTGCAGGAGTCATCGGACTGATAGGAGGGGACCAAAAAGGAAACGAGGGAAGGGAAAGGTAGCCGAGAAAAATTGAAAGAGGAGAGTAGGTTTGCTGAGAACGGAACCGAATCACCGAATCAACCTTCATCCACACTTTATTGGAGATACCCACCTCTCTGCTATAAAAAGAGACAAAAAAGAATGGAGTAATAAATTACAAAATCAGAAAAAGCAATTTATACTCCTCGTTGATACTTAGCACATAACTCTGGATGAGTGTCCATCAAATATTTAGTAAGCACCTTCTACCTTCCAAATCTCTCGAAGATCATAGGAGGCAACAAAACACTCGAAAAGCGACAGTTTAGAGAAATTAAAGGAAAATTGCAAAGCGGTATGCCGTAAGAGAACGTTAGGAAATAGCATAGCAACTGCACAAAACGATTTTAATATGATCGATTAGGGTAAGGCGGTATACAAATATTAACAAGTATAGAGATTCAAGTAAACTCCATCGGGTTTAACTTTAATGCTCCACTACACTGAGTTGGTGATAATCGTAAAATAAAGCCAGGTCTATTTAGGGAAACATTTTCCAAACAATTACTTTTGGTAGAGATTGGCGTCAAAGGAAGTACCTTGACGAGACTCGAATTCTAACACCCCATTAGTTAGATTAGCTGGTGGGATTTGCAAACTCAAACTTCAAGTTAAACACTGGGCCTTATTCGATTGTAGTGTTAACAATTCTTTGATACAATTGTTTATGGTGCAATCAGCTCAATTAACATAGTAGCCTTCGAATGTTCTTTTAACCATTTATGCTAGGCAAAATCATGCTTACTCTAACACTTTTCCATTGTAACTTGATGTCGTGATGTATCTTTGGGCAAATTTAACAATTTATCACCTTAAAAAAGAATTATGATCGCAGCCACCTTGCAACCAATTCAGTATCAAAACCAAGTGAATCAAAAGTACCAAGGAATTATCTCATTAAATATGCCACTTTAATGTATAAACTAGGTTAAATAAAGCAGATGTAATATAAGGAATACCATTGCTTGCGTAGTTCGGTAAATATCACTTCTCCAGGTCAATCAGCAAGATCAGGTGATCATTTTTAACGCATAATTAAGCCAACGTTTCGGTAATCGTTTCGCTAAATTCCAAGTATACGATAAAAATTCACAAATTATATTACTTATAAAGCGAAAATAAACTCTCATTCGAGTAGCTGTGAGTACACCTACAGGAAATATTAAACCGTCCACAAATTGTTTTACGACCAAAAATTCATACGATTTTGATCCTCCTTCGGGCGCACATTTAACTTTAGAGGTCTGAGAAACTGCCATAAGTTGCCCGTTGCTTGCCTTAAAACTTCTTTATATAAACTACGTACAGATATAAAACTAAATCGCAGTCTTCTATTACATTTTTAACAACAAGGAGCCCTCTGTCAGTGGAAGGTAACTAAAATTCTGACTACTTATTTAGAGCAAGTAGAACGAATTATTCACGCTTAAACTCACATTAAGGGTTGCTGCTCTAGAGGATGAAGGTCCAGGCCGTTGGACCGATGATGACTGAGTGAGATTCGCTTCTGCCGGATTACTATGCCCCATATTCATAGCATACCTCAGCACAACGGAAAGCTCATCCAGATGTTGTTGTTCCGCCATTCGCTGTCGCCTACTCTGGTCCGTAATTCGATGGAATTCAGCCATTCTCTGAGCATGAAGTAGTTGACGTACTTGCTCCCTTAGTTGCTCCTCAGTTGAATTAGTAACGAGTCGAAGAGCGAGATCCATTATTAACTGACTCATAGCACCTGGTCGGGTATCCGCACTATTTCGATTCTTCATTGCATTGTCAATGAGATGTTGTGGATATCCATGTGGCTGGAGATTAGGAGAATTCTCGAAACCCGGAGGAGGAGGAAGAGCAGAATAGGGATTAAATGGTGTTTGTGTGTGAGATGACTGATGCGGTTTTGATATTAAAGGTGGCATTTGAAAAGGAACCGTCTGTGGTCCAGATGTCATTAGTGAATCTAAAGCCAGGCTGGATACAATGAAGGGGTCAAAACCGATATCATTAGCAGCACTCGAGCTTAGAATACTGCTGAATTGAGATCTGTCTGTTGTTTTTGGAGCATGAAGTATTGGTGGTTGTGAAGGAAGATTAGGAATAGAATGAGGAGTAGGAGTCAAGTCTTCTACAGAAGCTGTCGGTTGTTGAGTTGAGGATGTCACTTTACTAGTGAATTTATCAGCAAGCAAGCTGAATGGTTGCACAGTTGGTTGCTGCTCATTACTTCTGATGGAAGATCTTGAGGATTTACTAACATTCCTAACGTTAGTAGAGGTGGTAGTGTCAGTGATCGGAGTGGGGGTAGATTCATTGCCACTAATATTTGTATCAGTAGCAGGAGCTTTGGAGGTCGATGGAACAGAATGAATGGTAGGCGATTCCTCTCTTTGGACGATTGATGATGACTCTGGCTGAATAGGAGACCGCCTCTTCGTTAGACGAGGCGGTGATGAAAATGTCGTCAAATCATTCACAATCTCCGGATGTTCTTCCTTAAACTTAGTTACTATCTTCTCCATATATACACGGTGTTTGCCTTGGTCCATATCTGCTTTTGTAAAACTTGCCTCCTCGTCACCTAGAGCATGCAGATACATGCATTCCTGAAGAAATAAGACAATATAAGCATGCACACTAATAAGGAAGAAACAAAACTAGGATGGAACGATGAACCGCCTGTTTGAAGGAATTAATTTTGATTAGGATAGAAAAATATGTAAAACGTTCAGATACAACTGACGATTGACCTTTTGATCAAAACAATCACAATGATTTTAGGCTTGGTGAACAAAAAGGGACTGAAACAACCTGGCCATTTGTACAGGCATTTGCCTGCACTTCACCAGGAGGGTTAACGTAGTACGCACAGTTAGGCAACGCACAGAAAATATATTCGCCCGCACGGCTTGTCACGTGACAAGTTAGTCTGCTTGTCGACTTATGATAGCGTATTTGTACGATAACATTAAGCCTAACGAGAAAAAATAATTGAAAGCTAAAGGTATTAGAACGCCAAAGCAAGGCAACAGCAAAACGTTTATCAAAGGGAGTTAGAGAGTCTAAATGCACAAATTTTAAAATGAACGAAGGAAAATTAAAAAATTAAAATTACAGACCATTTTTTTAATTTAACATATAAAGTCAAAAAACCTACTGGTTTTGTACATTTGCTTCCTTTGAGGAACTGACTGCAATACTTTGTTGTTCCAAACGTCATGCGCACTGGTCGATTTTCGTACTTGATATGTTCACAAACAACAGCCTTCATAGCGTCCTCAACTCGTTCAAAAGTAATGTAAGCACATACAGTAGAATTGCCCTAATTGATCATAAAATCAATTAAAAAACGAAAACATCAAGATTGAATAAAAACGTAGAAAAACCCTCACATTTGCATCCTGGTAGGTTGATTTATTGTTAACTTCAATTTTAATAACTTTACCGAACTTCGAAAAATGTTCCTGGAGTTTGGCATTTTCCTTACATTTATCCTCCTCTTGTGGTAATCCAGAAACATAGATAAGATTATTTTGGACAACCCTAAGTAAAGACATTTAGTGAAAAATATATAAAAACGTGCCTATAATCCTGCAAATGATCCAATATTTCCTTTGGGAGTTGCTTTACATTCGAAATTTCCTTCTTCTTTTTAGGTTGTCTTGGATGTTGCTTGCGCTCTTCGCTATGGATATCATTTAAAAATAATAAAAAACCCACTTATGGCAAGGCTCCGTAAAATGTGCGATACTTAGATCATATTTCTAAAGATATTTTCAAAAAATAAATGTTACCTTTCTACATTGTGGACACTCACCACTTAGCTCATTTACGATTTTGGACCAACAAAACCGACATATCTATTTTAAATATTAGAAAATATCAGAAATACTTGATAGCGACACTGACAAGGATAGAACCTCTCATCATCGGAGTCGAATCTCTCCATGCATAACGGACACTGAAGTAATAGATAATTATGCTTACATGAAAGTAATTACTTCGGAAGTCGCCATAGTAAGCAAATATAGAAAAAATTTAGCCTTCACCACGAGAATAAAAGATTGAACACGATTGTGTACAAGCAGGCTATAGTAAGCGTGTCAGATGTAAGGTCTTCCTGCATTTCGAGTTAATAAAATATTTAATAATAGGCTGAAAACGCATAATTATTATTTAATGCATTATGCAATAGTTTAATTTCTTTGGAATTTATGTTGAATAGAAAATGATAATTTTTATAATTTTTTAACAATTTAATATCCACCAGTTTTAACATTTGATACTCAATTCAGCGCAACCTGTTGAGTACATTCTCGGGGAGTTTGTCTAAAGTTTATATACCTAATTCGATTTTCATTTTAATATTTAAACTAGCTGCCTAATTTCCTACCGGAGAACATAAAGCGTGGGTCCAAGAGGCCGTTTCGTATCTTTTCTCTTCAGATACGTATATATACATTATTGAAGAGAATTTTGTGAAGTTAACTTTCGATTCTAATCGTCTTGGGAATATTCAGCAATTCAATTTTTATTTAGTCATCTCATTTGAAGTTCTATAGATTGTCGTATCCTTAACAAATAACATTTTTTCGGGTCCAATTTCGTTTGAGTAACATTATCCGAGTTCACTAAATTATGCGCTAAGGCGAACAGATATAGTCATGCAAAAGGGTAATCCTCAATTTTTTAATAACTAATGAATCAGAACCGAATAATATAGCCCAACTTTTTAACTATTAGCTAAGATATAACAAACAACAGTGGCACAACCGCGATGAGTTATAAAGTAGCGGGGGAGAGAGGGAAAGAGTAGACGTAGGCATGGTGGACAAGCAGATATATGTTGGAGTCAATTTCAATAAATAACTTTGGCACGTGGGGATAGAGTGAAGGCTACTTTTAAAAGAAAAGGGGGCAATTATAAAATAGTTGGAATCGAAAAATTCGTCTAGAAATGGCAGACAGGGACTTGAGTCACGAGGACAAATGACGAAAGATTTACGTATTTTCCTAATGAATGCAATTTAAGAGTCGCTATCGCAAATCTTTTGCACACCCATCATGTTGACTCCCTATTCAATGTACCTAATGCTTCACTTCGCATTTAAGGTGCTTGACAGATTTCAATAAATACTCCACTATTGAAATTAAGATAAGTTAAGAAAATATTACTGTTGTTAACAAATGATGCATGTAGACTTCTTTAGTAAACATTTGGTGTTATACACACTGTTGGATTATCTAATGTTTGGCTTCCTTTTTTGGCTATTCGTCGTAAGTGGATCTTATATAAAAATACAAAAGAGTTACTTCAGCAAAAGGGTGGAAATCTAACGAATAATTTCAATATGTGACCGTCATTCTCCGACCGACTTTATTGATTCACCAACAAGTCAACTATCTACTTTAATGCATCTTAAGATAGGTCATCAGAATGTCGGTGAATTATATTGTGGGACACGTTATCGCTGTGTGCGTGCCAGGATTGGGAGGTGCGGCCGTACAACTCTGTGTGCAGGGACCGTACGATTGGGAGGTGCGCCCGTACAACTCTGTGTGCAGCGACCATACGATTGGGAGGTGCGGCCGTACAACTCTGTGTGCAGCGACCACAACTCTGTGTGCAGCGACCGTACAAACAGTGGCCAATCACTAGGCCAGGATTGGGAGGTGCGGCCGTACAACTTTGTGTGCAGTTCGCCAGGATTGGGAGGTGCGCCGTATAACTCTGTGTGCAGCGATCGTACAAGCAGAGGTGCGGCCGTACAACTCTGTGTGCAGCGACCGTACAGTGCATCGTATGCCTGCATGTCTGCTGCCAGGATTGGGAGGTACGGCCAACTCTGTGTGCAGCGACCGTACAAACAGTGGCCAATCACTAGAACCTCGGGACAAGCCTTGTGGGACACGTCATCGCATGCCTGCACGCCAGGACTGGGAGATGCCAGGATTGGGAGGTGCGGCCGTACAACTTTGTGTGCAGTTCGCCAGGATTGGGAGGTGCGCCGTATAACTCTGTGTGCAGCGATCGTACAAACAGTGCATCGTATGCCTGCATGTCTGCTGCCAGGATTGGGAGGTACGGCCGTACAACTCTGTGTGCAGCGACCGTACTAACAGTGACCGATAAAGTAACCTCCTGTTTAACCTAATCCCCCATCCTGATCATGAGTAGCTCCCGGCGTGTACAATTTATCCACAATATACGTCCTGAATAAACGTGCTCCGTACTACACGTCTGTTTCCTTTATAGCTGGGCTATAGCTTAGCTGGTTCTGGGAGTCTAGCTAGATGTTTGAGAATCTGCCATAGAGATTTCTGGGTCGGTCAGGCGTTGATAAGGCAGCATTCCGCTACAATATGACCACGAATAC